CCACATGACATTTAGTGATCATGTTTCTGTATGCTCCTTTTGGCTGTGATAGTTTCCCAAACTTCCCTTGTTTTTAATCATCTTGACAGTGTTGAGGTGTACTTGTCATGGATTTTATAGAATGTCCCTCAGTTAGGATTTGTCTGATGTTTTTCTCATGATTAGACTGGGGTTTGTGTGTATTTGGAAGGAAGACCACAGAGGTGAAGTGCCATTTTTATTGCATCACATCAAGGGTACATACTGTCAACATGACTGATCACTGTTGATGTTGACTTTGATCACCTGGCTGAGGTCATGTTTGTTGGGTTTCTCTACTGTAAAGTTACTCTTTCCTCCCCTCCTTTTCCATATTGTACTCTTTGGAAAGAAGTCACTATACACTAGCCACACTTAAGGAGTCGGGAGTTTTGCTCTACCTCCTTGATGGCAGAAAACCTACATAAATTATTTGGAATTCATTTGTACCAGAGATGTATATATTCTCTTCTATTTATTTATCTACTTATTTATTCAATCATTTGTTTACACAAGTATGGATTCATGGACATTTATTTTATATTTTGGATTATAATCTGATACTATTTTATTTATGTTTTTGCTCAAATTATTTCAGTTTTTGCCACTGGGAGCTCTTGCAGTTGGCTTCTGTGTCCCTTTGACATACCCCCATCATTATGTGTGTATGTATGTGTATGTATGTGTGTTTAGTACTTTATTTTCTGACAATACAAAATGATCCAGGTTCATCTTATATAATTTATTCTCCAGTCCTAGAATCAGCCAATGCCTCAAGGATTCCTGATTCCTTTTTGTAGAGAATGGTATTTAGAAGCCAAGATCTGAGTGCCAGGAGGACTCATCACTATGAGGTATTGCTTCTCCTAGATACTCAGTGAACAAGTATATTTATACACACACATTTCTATCTACATCTGTTTGTATATTTATTTCCTTATATGTATTGAAAATCATAAGTTCATACTGATACCTCCAACTCTGATCCAATACTACAGAATTCATTCTAGCTTTCTTTCTTTTTGTATTTGTTTATCCCTTCTCCAATAGTGAGAAAACTGGCTCCCATTATTCTTAATTTATTTACCTATTTGGTTATTGCCTCTGTATGTAACCAGTTCTTTATCACCTCTGCTAGTTCCTCCACCATGTGAATGTTCTTGTCACCCATACTCAACCTTTGATACCACATTCCAAGTTTCCTCCTTACCTACATGGAAGCCCGCCTTACCTTACTTGTCTGACTTCCCTGCCAGGTTATTCTCCAGTGTGTGTTCCCTCTTTTCTCCTGTGCCCTGCTTGGGCTCTGACATCCTGCTATGGCCTACTATGCCTCCCTGCCCTTTCTGGCACTGATGTCTACCTTGTTCTGTCTGGCCTGTAGGCCTTAGAATTGAGTTGTTCAAGAGGAGAAGGTTAGGAAAGGATAAGAGGATCTCTTTGCTTTCTTAAAAATTACATTACATATATTTGTATGTCCAAATAATTTATTGTTTAGTGTTAGAAGTTTTGAACTTTATAAAAAGGAGGTTTCATATATATATATATATATCATATAGTCCTTTGGGACTTGCTTGGTTTACAATATTATTTTAGGTCAATTCATCCATATTGGTGCTCTTGCAAATAAACTTTGCCATATTTTAAAATGTTTCTTAATCCATTTTTGAATTTTTGGATTATGTCTATTTTTTGTCATTCATCATTCTATAATAGTCATTTTCCCATGTCAATGAAACTCTTCAAAATGAACATTATTATATTATATGAATGAATAACATGCTTAACCATTTCCTATTATTGGATATTTAAGGTCATTCCTATCTTTTGCAATTACAAACTATTCTGTATTCAACTTCTATGAACTTCTATGTGTGTAAATCTTGCCTGTAGTTTTTGTTTCTTTTTTCTTTTTTTTAGAAAGCAGCAAGCAGATGAGCATATTGCCTGTGTTTTAAGTTCTTTTTTAGGCTAGAAATTTGAGGGAATGATTAGGTTGGATATCTGCACATTTTAAGATTTTTTTTGGCATATGACTGTAAATTGTATTTGAACAGCAGCAGTATTCCAATTTTATTTTTAATTTGATAACATGATAGGTTTATAAAAGCATGTTTTAATGCTTTGAATTTACTTTTTCTTGTTTTGGGGTTTGAACAGTTTTTCATTGTTTTATTCCATTTTTGCCTTGATCTCCTTTCTCATTTGTCTGTTGGGATATTTTTTCTTTAAAATTTGAATAAACTTTCCCAGGTTGGGGACCAGGAAAAGTGTCATGGGAATGACACTTGAGAGAAGGATTTTGACAAGTAGAGGTGAAAGGAAAGGACATTCTGAAGGAAGAGCACAGTGCGATGGCTGAGAAACTTCTAAGTCATGAAATATTTGGAGTGCAAGTCTGGCTGGATTGGGGCCAGATTGAATGTGGCTTAAATGTTATATCAAGGCCTTTGGATTTAACTTTGTATGGTGAAACATGCAATGTGTTTGCACAGGCTTATGATGTGATTTTTGTTTTAAAAACTAACTCCCAAGGTAATTTTTGAGGTTGCCTTGTTTGGGGGAGGTTATTGGATGTGTGAACAGAGACTAGTAGCAAGAGTCTGGGTAGGAGGTTATTGCAAAGGTCTTATCAAGACTATTGACCTCAACTAGGACAATGAAAGTTGAAATGGAGAGTTGGGGATGAATTTGAGAACCATTTCTGGGGTAGACTTATAAGGTTTGGGATATATGTAGAATGTGGTATATGAGGAAGATAGAAGAATAAAAGGCTGTCTGGGCACAGTGGCTTATGCCTGTAATCCTAGCACTCTGGGAGGCTGAGGCGGGAAGATCACTTGAGGTCAGGAGTTCAAGACCAGCCTGAGCAAGAATGAGACCCCATCTCTACTAAAAATAGAAAAAATTAGCCAGGCATGGTGGCACATGCCTGTAGTCCCAGCTACTCAGGAAGCTGAGGCAGGAGGATGGCTTGAGCCCAGGAATTTGAGGTTGCTGTGAACTAAGCTGATGCCATAGCACCCTATCCCAGGCAACAGAGTGAGACTCTGTCTCCAAAAAATAAAAAATAAAACAAAATAAAACAAAAGTTTGAGATTTTCTATGTGGCAGACTAGCTGAAAGGTTGATGTTACCTGCTGAAATGGGAAACATTGGGTGATGCAAGATTTGGTGGTGAGAAAAGAAATCTGATTGAGGAAGTGTGTGAGTATAGAGCTATCTAGAAAACTGTTGAAAATTCTGGCCTGGTTTTTAGGAGAAAGTTCAAAGCTAGAAACAATAGATTTGTTCTCAGCACATGGGGGACACTTTGAGTCAAGTATGTGAGTGAGATAGCCCAGGGAAAATGTTAGAGTCCAGTGATATATAAAAGACCAATAGTGGACTTCTGAGAAATACTTATGTCCAAATGGCAGGCTAATGAAAAAGCACTGTACAGAGAGTCTGCTCAGGAAGGAAGAAGAGAATCAGGAAGGAGTTGTCATTCGGAAGCCAGTGCAGAGGAGAGCTTTATGAAATGGATGGATGGTCATTCATACTAAATGCTGTAAATTCCATAGACAGACAAGTTCAACAGCATTACAACTAAAAGGAAAATGTGTGCGTGTGTGTATGCATGTGTGTGTGTGTGTGTGTGTAGAAAGATATAGAGTGTTTGCTGGTCATGTGTCTGGTGGTGGTTGTGTTTTTGTTTGTTTGTTTTGTTTTTTAATTCAGATGAAATTTACATGCAGTTCTATTATTTCCTTCGACTAGATTCCCAGAAGTAGAATAACTGAATCAAAGGATTTGAGCACGGGCTTTTGATTCATGTTGCTTACCTGGCTTTCATGGTCACTTTTTGATATGAAATAGTAAATAGTTTGCAATTTTGTACAGGTCTGGGTGGCCAGAAACAAGGTGTGGAAATCTGCAACAAAGCAGAACACAGAACTGGGATTTTCTAGTTGGGGGGGTCTTTTCCAAATGGACGTGGTCTAGCCATCATCACCTCCCCACTTTCAATTTCTATATGTTACGTCTCTCATCCAGAATACAAGTGGGACAGGGCCCATTACTCATTAGCTCATATTGCATAGAGCTTTGAATAACTTTACAGTGGAGTGTCCTTATCTGTTATGATTGTAGGTCACTGTAGGTAAATGTGTGACCTACACATTTAAGTAAATGGTCAGTAAATAGACTATGGAGTCTGGAGGGAAATTCTCTGAATTTAAGACTACTGTTTTGAAGTTTGGGACCCACTACCACTTCAAGGATGAAGAATTTACCACTCACTGGAATTAAATATTTAATATTCTAAAAATAATGTGGCTTCAAATTACAAATGAGTTACATTAAAATGATACAGACTTTCTCTCTGAAGCTGTGGCTCATTAATAAATTTTACTTATCCACGCCTTGGTGAGAGGTTCTGAATAAACATCCAGATCATCTATTTCAGCTCTCATTTCCTGCAAATACTGTATACCAAAGCAACTTTGCATTTCTTTTGTCACTAAGATAAGACATTTGATTTACCTCCTTATTCTCCACCAAACTTCATTTCCCAAGATGAACCGGTTTTCAGGTACTATAAACACCCAGTTCTACCGGGTTTTCTTTGACGGCTAGAGAAACTGTAGGCTGTGTCTGATGCACACATTTTATTGCGTCTCCCTTGGCATGAGATTCATATACATTGGCATCTTCTCAGAGTGAAGTTGACTCTCTTTCTTTCCCTATTCCAGAATTTCAGTTGGCATGTGGTGATTCCAAAACAGTTTGAGGCTCATTTTGATTGCCTCTGGCAATCTCAGTCCAGCCAGGTTCACTCTGAGAGGTCCCCTGTTCCTTCATGAATGGCCACAGAAGCTTTTGCTCTTGGCTCTGCGTTCTAATAGCACCTCTTGCATGGACTATGCCAAAGCAACGCTTTGAAACATGCGTCCATACCATGTGGCTTTCCTTGCTGCAGTTTCTGTTCTTTTTTATTGTAGGATCGGGAGACTCACCGCTAGAAGACGATGAAGTCTGGTATTCACACCCTAGATATAAAGGTGAATGCTTTGCTTATATGCTAATAAGGACCTGCTGATGCCAGGAGAACTTTCTTTTTTGCCCTGCGGAACAGACTGTAATAAAGTGACCAGACAATGCATTTAAGTACTAATTACCTGTTTAAAAGATATATATATTTAAAAATGAATATGAATACACATATACTGTCATTTTAGAAAAAGAAAACAAAAAGCATTTGGAAATCTCTGAAATGCTGTCCTTCAGCATCTCGATGGTCATTTTATTCTCATAAATTTCTTTACTGTCCTACCTTCTGCAAAGGCAAGCTCTAGCTGACAAAAGTGAAAATCAAGCTGTGAGTTCTGCCGGATTCATACATTACAGCCAGAATTGTCCAGAGTAAACCATCCCAGGTCAAATCTGGACCCCGTGCTGCTAATGTACTGAGATGAATGGGGAATGAGAATACTTGATTTTCATAAGCTCATTTCATCATGCTCTTTCTGAGCCCAGCGTGGCTCCCAAAATGATAAGTTAAAATGTGTTGCTCAAATGAAACTTAATGATAAAGAACCCCTTCTCTACACATTTACAGCAATCCACTCCTCAGCAGGTATAAAAAGCATAATCAAGAACCTTCTGTGTAGGCTCAGGTAAGTATGTCCACAAATATTTCTACTGGTGAAGCATTTCTCTGAAGCTTAGGGAGCCCCCGGAAAAGTGAAGATAAAATTTGATGCCTTCTCTCTGAATCTGGTTCCTCTTACAGTGAGCAATGATTTGAAGAAGATTGGTTAACAATGTTCTGTTATGGCATTTTGCCCAGGAAGTTTGTCCACATTTGGGCAAGAGGACACTGCTCTGCTCTGTTGTGATGTGTCTTAGCTGTAGGAGATTCAGGGTAGTACTGATCAGCTTTTGGCTAGAGACTGTCCTTCAGTTGTTTTCCTTCTAAGTGAATAATCTTTCTAATATAGTAACCTGTGCCTGGTGCCTATGTCCAGGTGTGTTTCCCACCATATACCAAATTTGTTTGTGACCTCTGAATGCAAATACTCATTCCTACCTATAGTTTCTATCTTCATAGCCTCAGGAATTAACCAGTTAAGCAAAGCACAAACATATTAATTAATCAGATGGGTAGGGTAAGGAGGTGTTCTGATTCATAAAACTTCATAACTGAGGATTTTTAAAAGTCTCTTTTTTTTCTTTGAGTCCCTTGTTTAAAAATCTTCTTACAACACATGTGACCCTTCACATTTACAGTAAGGGCTGGTTAGTGCCCCCAGGTCACTCTTCCCAGTGTCCATCCTTACTTCACAGCATTATAAGTGTGGCAGGTAGACCAAATGGCCAAAATAGATGCCTCCCCTTAGCATTTTTGAATAAATCCTTCTTGGGAAATTATTTTCACTGTCAGTTAAATTGCTTACCTGAAGTGATCACTTCACCATGTATATGTATATCAAAACATAATGTTGTATACCTTACATTTATATAATAAAATTTTTTAGAGTGTTTTTAGTTTTAAAAGTTAGAGGCAAACCTAACCGAATGTTTAGCTCTGGATCCTCAGGCCCTTGCACAGTGCCCAGCACAGAGAATATACTCAGTAAGTGTTTTTGAATTAAACTTAAATAAAAGAAGAGAGTGAAATTTCACCAACATTTATGGTGTTCCAAATATGTGGCCAGTGTTGCTTTGGATTCTTTTACTTGGAATACCATCATATATTCATACTAGTTGAGGGAAGGGGTAATGTATGGAGAGATATATAAGTATTGTCCCTCTGTTTACAGATGAAGGAACCAAGAATTATAGAGGTTAGATGACTTGCCCAGAGTCACACAGCTAGCACATGTTGCATTTGGGTCTGAACTGGTGATTTGGCTCCTGTTTGGAGCTTGCTAGTGGCTTCTCATTAGTCTGCTATACGACACTGCCTACCCCAGGAACTCCAGTTAACTGGAATGCTTGCCATGTTGGCCCAGGGGGATGAAAAAATCCTCCCTGAATAACTGATTTAGATTTGTCCTTAGTAAACCCTGTCTTAACTGAAGCAGCATAAAAGCTTCCTTTTTCGAAATCACTGTGTTAAATGTTTTGTTAATTCACTTTAAATCATGGTGCTCGCATGCACTTTAAATTCAAGTCACTCAGTGACATTTTAATTACTGTCACTGCAGAGCTGTTAAACTGTGAAAATATCATCCAAAGATTTGTTCTGTAAAGTAATCCAAAAGAAATTCCTTTTGCAAATAAATGAAAACAAGATTTTTTTGCACATGTTGACAACAGCACAGCTTTTGGATGTGTGGCCAGCATAGCTAGGAGAATTTGAAGACTTAGAATATGGGGCAAAATCTTTTAATTGCATGTTGCATTGAAATATGTGAATTTGTGATATATGTATATGCAGGTCATATATACATACAATAGTCCCCTCTTATCTGGGGTTTCACTTTCTGTGGTTTCAGTTACCCACGGTGAACCATGGTCTGAAAATAGTACAATTATTTTGAGAGAGATGTGGGAAGAGGGCAGAGAAAGACAGAAACATTCACATAACTTTTATTACAGTTTATTGTTATAATTTTCTGTTTTATTATTAATCTCTTATCATGCCTAATTTATACATTAAACTTTATCATAGGTATGTTTGTATAGGAAAAAGCATAGTATATATAGGGTACAGTACTATCCACTGTTTCAGATAAGGGGGGACTACTATATATCACAAATATATGTAGTCTATACAGACTATATATATAAACCCTTAAAGGAAGGAAATTTTTGTCCAAGGAAGGTCTGTAGGCCTGTTGTGTGCTCCTGCAGATTCATATGCATGTGGCTAAATTTAATCAGCTCCAGGTTATACCCTCAGGACACCACTTTTATTTAGAAAGTCCAGGGAATATTACCTGAGTTCTGAGTTTAGAATACACGTGTAACTGTCTTCAAAACGTTGATGATGAAAGTATTAGCCAAAGGGAATGGGAAAGCACAAAAGTAAACAACAGTCTATGCGCAAGACCTGGACAGGAACGTTGGTTCTCATGGCTGCAAAGCAGTCAGCAGCATATCCTCAGAAAAATCCTGGGAAACTAAAGCAGGGTGTGTCCTCCTTCCTGGCCACATGATGGTGCACTTTTCCCACTCACTGATGCCTCAGATGCTGGGGTGGAGTGATGAGCCAGGCAGCTGCAGGGGAAATGGCTTCTGTTCACAATACTGAGAGCCGGGCAGGCTTGAGGGAGCTTGTCATTGGTCCCCATAGATTCTGGGAAACTGATGCAGTGGCCACTGTGGGAACTTCCCCACCGAGGGGCTTGTGTTGCCTTTATATTTTATGGGTCTCAAAGAGCACTTTCCAAAGGCTCAGGGGGGAGGTTCTGATTTATTAGTGTCAGCTGTGCCCTGAGCAACTAACTACTGTGTTTCCCCAAAAATAAGACCGGCACATAAAATAAGCCGTAGCAGGATTTCTAAGCATTTGTGCAATATGAGCCCTACCCCGAAAATAAGACCTAGTGTTGGGCGTGACTACGCAGCGTATCTGCACAACCCATGTATTTCGTCGCAGAGCAGTAAAGAAGACCAGCAGCCCTTCTCATCTGCCCCATCGTGACAGCTACTATCCCAGAGGTGACCAGAAAGGTGCGGCAGCCCCACCAACAAGGTCGGCTCCCCCTGTCAGGTCCCGGCCATCCTGTGTGTGCTGCAAGCTGAGGCCTTGAGGGGAAAATAACACCTCCCCTGAAAATAAGCCCTAGGGTGTCTTCTTGAGGAAAAATAAATATAAGACCCTGTCTTATTTTCAGGGAAACAAGGTATCAGACCAAAATCAAAACACCCAACTTTGCCATCTGGGGAGGGTGTCAGGTGTCACTCTGTTACATAAATGGGATATAATTGGGGACATCTGAAAGGGGGAGGCTGCTTCCCTATGGGGAGCAATTGTTCTGTGACTTTAAGCTGAAATTATATCCTATTGCCAAAACCTGGACATTGCAGCTTCATTCTAATTAATTAACAGTAGTACTATTAATGTTTTACAGAGAATATTCATACAGCTCAGGAGAAATCCAAATTAACCAATTATTGACCACCCCACCACTATGTTGGCGATGGCTAGGGTTAGGATTCACAATGATATCAATTGTCCTCAAAAGATTTATATATCTAGTTAAGGGAAATACTAAAACAAACAAGCATTTATTGAACATATACTGTGTGCTAGGCACTGTGTTAGGTGCTTGATATGCATTTGTTATTTAGTCCTTATAACAGCCCTATGGCATAGGTTTAGGTACTGACTCAGAGAGGTTAGGTAACTTGTCCAAGATCATTCAGCTAGTTATGGAGGAACTCAGATTCATATTCAGAATGTGTGATATCTGGTCTCATGTTCATAAGCTCCCTACCCAAAGACACCTAAGAAAACATGGGGCCCTATTTGGAAGTCCAGAATTTGAAATGCAGCCAGCCTGGGACTGTGAGAGTGAGGAGATGCGTTTTCTGAAGATACCACTTCCTGTTTCTCTCCTCTTTTGTTTCTGCTACCTATAGATACCCCATGGTGCTCCCCCATCAAGGTGAAGTACGGGGATGTGTATTGCAGGGCACCTCAAGGAGGATACTACAAAACAGCCCTGGGAACCAGGTGTGACATTCGCTGCCGAAAGGGCTATGAGCTGCATGGCTCTTCCCAGCTGATCTGCCAGTCAAACAAACGGTGGTCTGATAAGGTCATATGTAAACGTAAGTATCCCAGCGCTGTGTTGGGTGCTCAGGGACAATCAGGACCAAAGTTCTTTTGCTCTGAGATTGGGGCTTTTCACCAACTATAGAAGAGAAAACTTGTGAGCAGAGACCAGTGGGTTTCTAAGATACGGTAGAAATGAGATGGCTCCTTTCAGGGAAAAGGGCATGATCAGCTGTTTGGGAAAAGGGGAGAGAAGAAAATTGTTCAGCAAATGGGTTCAGTAAATGCTAGGTCCTGAAGAGGTATTGGAGATTTAGAATAAAATAAGACACACACAGGTTCTGCCATGAAGGGTCTGGCACAATGGCACCAGAGACAGCAGGGCAGAGGTGCAAACCCAGAGAATGGTACCAAGTCAGGGATTTATGGTAGCAGATTAAAGAAGTATTCTCCGCCTAGGAATAGGGAACAGAGAGGCAGAAAAGAGTTGCTGACGAAGTTATGCTTGTTCATGAAAGGGAGTGTGCCTCAGAGGATAAGATTAGACATTTAGGGGCTGACTTTTAGCTTCACGACAAGTCCTATCTCATTTAGAAAACTGCAAGTGCTACAGCATTGTTGAAGCACATTTTAGATGCTTTCGTTGTTCAAAACAGCCACTACTTCTTGAGCACCTATTGTTTGCTGAGCATTGCATATACATTCCATTTTGCAACAACACTATCAATATGGGTGCCATTATTTTAACTTCCATGTTGGGGAAACTGAGGCATCGGGGCTGCAGCCATGGGATCCAGACTGTGCAGACTATGCCACTGGGTAACTGTAATGGACACTTGTCAGTGCTTCACCCAGATCTCTGGGGTGCGGTGCACTTTCACTAGTTTCATGTATCTGCGCCCTCCAGCTTCTGAATCCCTTGCCCTTAAAGACTTGCACCTTCAGCCTTCTTTGGAGGAAGAAGAAACTTTGCTGCTTCAGAAAACTGCTCTCACTCTTGCTCTTGCGCTCTCTCTCTCTCTCTCTGGAAAGCATCTCCCATGGGTAGCCTGTAGCTGCCCAATGAGTGACTGGTAAATGATTATGAAAGCCCATGGTCCTTGCCTGGGGGCAGGACAGACTGAGCTGTCACTCCAGAGCTCCTCTGGGGCATCAGCCTGAGGGTGACTTTGCCTGAGATTTCACCTTGCTTGGCTTCCTTCCTTCCCTGTTGTGCTTTTCCCACCTCCTCACTGACCTCCCCTGGGAGCAGTTTCTTACTAAACCACTTGTACACAAATCTGTATCAAAGGATCTGCTTCTGGGTAACCCAACCTAAGATAGTGGCTTAGCTGGGATATCAACCCAACCTCATTTGACATGAAGCTCGGTGTCTATTCTGTGTAACATACAGCCACTTATTGTTTCTCTAATTCCATTTGTTGTATTTCCATAAACTTTTCACCCTATGCTTTCAGAGGTTCTGGGCTCTGAAACTCTATGGACATAAGCTAAGAAATACTGAGTATCTGATTTTTTCTTTTTCAGAAAAGCGATGTCCTACCCTTTCTATGCCAGCAAATGGAGGGTTTAAGTGTGTAGATGGCGCCTACTTTAACTCCCGGTGTGAGTATTATTGTTCTCCAGGATACACATTGAAAGGGGAGCGGACAGTCACGTGTATGGATAACAAAGCCTGGAGCGGTAGACCAGCCACCTGTGTGGGTAAGAAAATGTCACCACCTTTAGGAGACACATGCTTTGGGAGGAGCACGATTAGTGGATTTTAAAGGGAGCATTAATATTCTGTGTGTGAAGCACCACCTTTGCTTTTAGTAGCTGTCTTCATCACTGCTTCTGTGGCTCAACCCTAGACCTAAGCTCAGTCTTTATCCTAGAGCAGACTTCTTGGATGATGGCTCCCATCTGACTTTTATCTCTTTTTTGGTTTGCTATTGAGGCAGCTACAGGCTGGCAGAGGTGTGGCACACTCCTGTTGATTTAATTCAGAAGTCTGTCCTATAATATTGAGCAGAGTTATTGACACTTGCAGGGACAGTCCTGCAGAGAGCATTTATGTGTTTTCCAGTGGGAAGACAGAAGTAAGTCCTTTGTCACAAACAAATAAGTAGACACCAACAAATAAGTAGACAAATAAGTCCTTTGTCACCAATAAGTCCTTTGTAGTGACCAGCAAGCACTCAGTTTGCTTAGCTGGAAGGGATTTGGATATTGCACCTTACTTTGGGTTTGTTGAGTAGGAAGTGGTTCTCATGGTGTGGTCTTGGGAAGAGCAGGAGCAGCAGCAGCCCCTGGGAATTCCTTAGAAATGCAAATTCTCATCCCTCCTCCACATGTGCTGAGTAAGCAACTCTGGGGGTGGGGCCCTGGCATTTATGCTTTAATGAGCCCTCCAGGGACTCTAAAGTGCTCAAATAGAGAGCCACTGACCTAAGGCCTGCTTCTCTAACTTTACTGTTCATAGGAATCCTCTGGGGACCTTGGTAAAAATGCAGATTCTAATTTAGCAGGTCTGGGGTGGGACCTGGAATTCTGCTAGACCATGCTCTAGGGCAAGGTTTTTGAACCTGGGCACCATGGGGGCCAGATAATTGTTGTGGGGTTCTGTCCTTTGCACTGTACAGCATCCTCGGCTTTTACCCACTAGACACCAGTAACACTGCCCCCCACTCCAAATTGTGACAACCAAAAATGTCCCTAGATATTATCAAATGACTCAGGATGGGGGAGAGGAGAAAAATCATCCTCTCCTCACTGATCTGGGGCAGTGGATCTGCTGATTAGAATCAACTGGGTAACTTTTAGAGCCTACCCATGCCTGGGCCCTGCCTAGAGATTCTGAATCAGTTAGTGTGAGGGCCGGGGTGCTATAAAAGCTTTCCAGGTGGTTTTCATGTAGACTTAAGCTCCAGAACCATTGTCTGAGATCAACATCACCTGAGAACTTGTTAGAAATGGAAATTCCCAGCCCACCCCCTACCCCCCAGACATGCAGGATTAGAAATTCTGGGGTAGGGTTTAGCAATCTGTATTTTTAGAAACCCTCCAGGGTATGCTGATGCATGCTAAAGTTTGAGAACATGCCTTTAGAAAGCCAAATTTGGCAAGTATCTTTATACTCAAAATATTGCCCTGGAACCACCAGCAGCAGGAGCATCAGGAAGGAGCTTGTTAGAAATGTAGAATCCTGAGACCCACTCCAGATCAGGCAAATCAAAGTCCACATTTTGATAAGATCTCCAGGGGATTGGTATACCCTTTACATGTTATGGCATTACTGCTCTAGGGTGGTGGTTTTCAACATTGGCTGCCACTGAAATTTGAATCTCCTGGGCACTGGTGTTTTTTGAAGCTCCATGTACCATGAGTGGTTGAAAACTACTGTCCCAGGGCATCATTTACTGATAAACTATTAGAGCTGCGAGGACCTGCCTTTAGAGAATATTCTTATCCAATTCCCCCATTTTACAGATGAGGCCTGAGAGATCACTTGACTTGCTCCAGATTGCATAGAGACAAGCCCGGGACTACAACTCCAGGTTCTCAGGTCTAAAGTCCTGAATCCAGGGATATCTCTGATACTAAGGTTCTAGAGTGAGTGGCCATAGGAGCCTGGTTCCTGCCCTGCTTTGATCTACCCATCTCGAGATAACCATTTAGCTCAGTTTGCTAATGTGCCTTACCTAAAGGACTCCTTTCTGAACACTCAGTATCTGGGGCAATTACTTCAGGAGTAAGACTGAAATCTGATGTAATCTGCTGGGGGCCAACATGAGACAACTAACCTGGGCTCCATGCCAGGGGTATCTTCATGATGGCACCTTTGTATACTGTCTTCCCTGGCAGCATCAGCCATTCTCACTCTAAAGTTATGTGGTAAATGAATTACAGCAAAGGGACCAGGCTGAAGATGTGATCAAAATTCTTCTATATCAGAGTCATGGCCTAGACCACACCTTGTATCTGTTTAACAAGAACAATAGGTCCAAGTAAATACGCAGCTAACTGGATAGATTTATTCTGGGATTCTCTTCTTCTAGTATTTTGGTAAGCATTTGTATTGGTCAGTGATCAGGAAAACAGAAACCACTCTAGATATTTCAGACAGAGAGGGATTTAATATAGGGAATTGGTCACAAACGTATAGGACAAGCTAGAGGAGGAAAAGAGGAAAAATGCTGTTCCCACAGATTAGTTACAATAGGAAGCCACTACAAACCAAGGCTGGAGGAGCAAAAGTGGTCTGGTAGTGTTACCCAAAAGTCCACAAGCTCACACTGATGCTGAAATTTCTGTAATTGACACTGTGAGTAGGAAGTCAGGAGGTGAGAAAACTCTCACTGAAGCTGCTACCAGAAGCACAATGGCTTCTACCTCCTTCCTGCCTTGTAATTTCATAAAAGTACCTCCCATTGGCAAACCTATCTGGCCACCCAGCTGGCAAAGGAATCTGTGGAAATGCAATTCTAAGACTTCAGTCCTGGCTGTAAAGGGGAGATTATAGAAAACTAACTACCAATAGAATATTTGGTACCTGTTTCTGAGGTTTTTGACTTCTCCTCCTGAATCTTGTGCTCATTAAAAAGAAGACTGCAGAGCAGTCCTGGTCAACTGGTACATGCAGAATGCTGCTGAGAGTGTGAACTCTAGACATGATCCTCTTGAATGACATGGCCTAAAGCCAGATATTCAGGTTAGAAGGGCACCTCACAGATGTTGTTTTTAGTATCTCCCCTGTGATTTGGTATGTGCAAGCTAGCTCTTCGAAACGAACAAACAAACAAAAAATTGATCTCTACTCCTTCACATTGGAAGGGACAAGGATGATGGTGGGAGGAGAAGAAAAGCTCAAAAATCTTTCTGCAGAGTCCTCTAGGGATCATACTGTTCAGATTTCTAGATTGTGTAAAACAATGGAAAGAAAATGCTGATTGTTCTCAAAAAGCAACAAGCATGTCCTAAGCTGGACCAGATGGGCCTGGAACCTTCCCAGAGAGAGAGAGAGAGAGAGAGAATGAACCCCAATTTCAGGGGATTTATCTTACAATTTTGCAGGACAAGGTTCAGGCATGTTTGAGTAAAGGGATAATGTACATGCAATTAGGTGGAAGTGACAAAAAGAGGTACAGTGAGCATGAGAGTTTAGAGCTTCCAGAAGTACACAAAGCAAGTAGGCAATTCTTTCTTTGATTTTGGTGACAGACAAGCTGGAGTTTGTCCATAGAGAATTTTACTCCTGGAATATCATTTACTCTTTTGGCTTTAAATATATTAAATAAGTTTAATAAATTTGTTTTTGTGTTGGCAGGGCTGGGGGTCCTTTTGCTGTTTTAGGGCCTCAGCCTATTTTAGGAGCTGACACATGATGGCTGAGTAGTTCCCAGATTTCCACACAACCTTGAACAGTGCATCTTGGCCAGAGCTGTGATGAGTGCTGACAAAGTTGCCCCAGTTCTGTTCCAGACAAGAAGGGAAGAGAGAAGACTTGGCTTACTTTTTACTCTGAGGTGGTTAGTTCTGTGGTCTGGCTAATTTGAAAGTACCATGAGTTAAAATTAATTCTCTTATGTAGACCATACTCTGGCAGTGGACTCAAATTCATGGTTATTTCAGAAACAGATATAGATAAAAATAAGTCAATGTAGGAGAAAAAAAACATACTACAAATTGCAGGAGGGTAAAGTATTTAAAGAGCCACAACTTCCATTGATATATATATATATATATATATATATATATATATATATATATATACCAACTTAGAATGTAACCACTATTGTTTTGGGGGAATATTTTTTCTTTATTTCCATTTTTAGTTATTTTTTGTTACATTGGCATTTAGATAGAACAATGGGAAGTTGGAATTACAACAAGTCCTCATTTAGAGACCAGATTTTGAGTAAACACATGATCTCCCCTTTAGACCAACACTTTTTCCTAGGCCAAAACAGGAAGAAAAATATTAAAGATAATTTTAAAACAGTGGACAATAAAAACCCAGCAAATATCTCTTGACATGCAGAGAGTACCCATTTAATTGCTTTAACAAAGGACAATGTACAAACCAACTTGGTTTTTGGAATTGCTCTCTTCTTATTTTATATTTTCTACAGAGTAGAATAAATGGAGATTTATTAACAGAGATTAAATTCTAGAATAAAAAAATTTCTGAGACTTAAGATATGCAAATTGATGGCATACTTTTCTTGCTTCCCAACTGTCCAACAGCTAGTTTACCCAATGGCCCATAAGAATGTTTGCTGGGCTGTGTTGCATTATTCGGTTGATGATACAAACATTAGTGGGGATAAGAACAAATGTATTAGTTCATTGTTTCAGAGTATCTTAAATTGTGCAAACTTTTTCCTGGGTTGACAAATACACATTTTTTTGCAAACTTTCAGGAAGCTAGTTTGAGCTTTAAAATAACTTGATTGAATGAGATACTGATCTACTTTTTACCTTCCATGATTTATTAGTACATACTAAACAGGTAAATTTTTAGTGGTCCTCTCTAATATAAATGTATCACCAATGAATTTTTAGTTGAGCTTCTTTTTGGTGAAGACAGTGGTGACTTTTGGAGACAAGGTCTCAGTATGTTGCCCAGGCTGGTCTCAAACTCCTGGTTCAAGCGATCCCCCCACCTCAGCCTCCCAACTGGCTGAGACTACAGGCTTGTGCCACAGTGCCTGGCTAAGATGGTGACTTTTAATTGTGGATTTCATTGCTTCTCTACTTGCCTCTTCTGTCCTTTTTGGAAAATTCTCTGAAATTTTATATGCTGTCAAAGAAACATGTCAAAGATAGCTCCTTTCTAGAGCCATCCATGGGGATTATTCTCTGGCTGGGGGAAATAAACAATTGGATAAGTTTTCAACGGCCAGGTTTGCTCTACCTTTGGCAGTCACTCACTTCCTATGCCCCCATGGAACTGACATTTCCTTCCTTCAGCACCAACCTCAAGCTATTTTATGTTTGTATCAGTGATTTATTGCTATTGCTGCACAACAGACCACCCAAAACTTAGTGATTTCAAACAACAATGTTATTGCTTTTGGTTGGAAATTTGGGCAGGACTCCATGGGGACAGCTTGCCTCTGCTGTACATAGTAATGGATGAGATGACTGACTGGGGCTTGAGGATCCAATATGGCTTCACTCATATGTCTGGTACCTCAGTAGGGGGAATCTGTACTGGCTCTGGATCTGGCTGAGTCTCTCTCTCTCACACACTTTATAATTATCTTCCTCACTATGTGACCTCTCCAGTTACTCAAACTTTTTTAGATGGCAGCTGTCTTCCAAGATAGTGAAAGCAGAATGTGCCTGACTCTTTAAGGGAGTAGGTCTTGAATTAGCATAAGGTCACTTCCCTTGCGTTTTATTGTTAGCCAAGACATTGTCTTGTCAGCCAAGACATTGTCCTTTTGAACCTCTTCCTTATTTCTACCACCTACCTGGTTAGATGTGTCAAGGATTCCCAGAAAAATAGTTCTGCTTCTTAAATAAATAGTAGCTGATACAATGCAATGTATTTTTCATATTTTGTATGCAGAGAGGAAACTGGAGCACAGAGAAGGGAGACAGTTTGTCAGATGTGTCTCCAATGAATGGGGCAGAGAGCAGAGGCCAGGATTTTCACTGAGGGCTTCAGGGTTTCCACACAATAACTGGCTCTGCAAGTATCCTGACTCAACACAGAATAGTAATTATGTTTCTATAGTAACTTTATTCCCTTCATTCATGGAAATGTACTATAACTTATAAAAAGATATGGTGGCCGTGACTGGGTAATAACAGGCTTAGGTCTTTGGAGCATCGGCTGAAGGGCAGGCCAGCTGGTCTCATCAGCTGAGAGAGAGTATACTGCTGCTTGAGGGTGCATCAGAATTGAGTCCTGCTGCTGCTGTTTAAGGACTGGTGAGGAAGCTGTGCAGGCAATCACAAAAGAAATGCAAAGGTTGGAGGAAAATGCTAGTCAGCAGCAGGCAGACACACAGAAGCATTTGGTTTATTAAAATAATTTTAAAATATGTGATGATGTCCTAAAATTCCAGAGCACAAAGAAATTTCAAAAGAGAAGAAATGCTTCTCAGTCTATAAACGTGGGGAGGGGGTGACTAAGAACATTGCTTAGTCTATTGTGTGGTTGTGCGAATTCAATGACATAATGCAGTGATAGTACTTAGCATGAGCTAGGCAGGTAGGAAGGGTCCAGTAAGTATTAGTTATTATTTATAGTGATTTATTTCTTCTTGGTTTTTTTGTTTTTGTTTTTGTTTTGTTTTGTTTTGTTTTGTTTTGTTTTTGGTTGTTGTTCAAAAGAGCACTGCTTCTGAAAAGCTAGGCTAGTTTCAACTGATTATTGTTAGCAAGGCATAAGCTAGCTTTGGGAAGCTTTGAGACTTTTCACCTAGATAACCTACTTTGGAGTGTGTTTGGTCACACTGTCAGTACATCTAGTCGATTTAGAAAAAAACCCAGTGTATCATCCAAATGTTTAGTTTACCTTATGCAGAGACTAAGAGTCTCTCTTCACTCTAACAATGTTGCTCCAAGAAAATATGGTGACCCAATGTAATTTTACATTGAAATTTATATCCTTTCCTCAGCCCCTCTCCTTTTGCTTTAATTTTTAAAATATTCATTCTATAATGCAATTGCCAGCTATATTTGACCAGCAGGGGGCAGGCATTGAGTAATTGTCTTTCTGGTTCACTAAAAGCTGTAAAATGTTCATCTGAATTATAAAAGTATAACTTCTATCATCTGTCATAGTTTACAAAATAGATTGTTTTAAAAAGCTTAAAAAATGAAAATAAACACCTTTAATGCATTCAAAGTATCTTCCATTTCATCATGATATTTACATACTTTATCAATTCTGAGAAGCATATTTTTTCACATTTTAATATTCTTGAAATAGGGATGTATGTCACAATCAATAGTTACTTAGATTCAATAAAATATGGTAGTTATTCAATTTAGGATTAGTGTATTAAGGCTGTAAGTTCACAGTCCATTGAAGCATGACATAGAATGAAAATGAATTTGGATAACTGGAGGCAAAATTGTTTAACAAGTTATTCATAATTTCTTACCCTAAATAAAGTGAGAAATTATTAGACAAGACACAGGAGAAAATATATGAAGAATTTTCCTTGGTGCATTTAGTCTCTCAAGGACATTTGTGATTCGGAATCAAAAGGACATTAATTTTCATTAATGCTGTAATAGCATTTAAATACTTATCAGTTGATATGTACAGCAATGCAAAGCTGCATGTAGTTAATTTGCTGTGCCCTCTTTAAATATATTCACTACCTGCTCTGAATCATAAGGTAGGATTTGCAAAAGTTTGGATTTCCTCTTGTGATTTCACTTCAGCTATAATAAGATGAAATACAACACAATGTAGAATCAACATCTCATTTATTTCTAGTCCTCATTATCTACTCATCCTTGATAATGAGGAGGCAGAACTCCTATTACCAGGTGGAGAAACTACTTGAGGAAATTTGGGAAGCTTTTGGAGAGCCAGAGCCAAGGTAAAACTGCTGCTCCAGAAACACAGAACTGTAGTGTGGTCCAGTGGCAGTTGGAAGGGAAAGTGGACCCGGACAGACCATTACCTATTTTAAGATATTGAGCAATATGTTGGGAATAGACAGCAGGAAGAGAGAGAGCATGTTCCAGTGGTAAGTCCTCTGATGGGTTATAATTCACATTGCCACTGTATCATGTGTGGTCTTAAATAAATCACTTAAGTTCTCTGAGCCTCAGCTTGCATATCTATAAAATTAGAGAGTTGGGTGGCTCCTTTACCCCTCCATAGCATTCACTTTTACCTTGCCTGGGGCATTACCACTTTCTACCCTCAATGTTATATTTCCATGTGTGGTGACATAATGTCCCCAATAGACTATAAATTCTTTGAAAAGTTGAGATCACATAATTCTCTTGCCTTTGTGCACCCCCAACCCCAGCAGTTGGAATGAAGCCTTGGCTAAGGTTGGCACTTATGAAACATTTGCTGCCTTGAATTGAATCAGAGTAGATGATAATTAGGGTACCTTTCTCTAATATTCTATTATACTGTCTTTAAAGCAGGGGGGACTCATTGAAGCTGAATGACTTCTAGTTTCAGCTGGGTAAATGCCATGTTGCCAAGTCAGTAAGCAGAGTTTGGAAGCCTGGGGAGGAAGGAGCTGTAGCTATTATAATAAATTACCCCACAGGATACCTAGCAAGGCCGGATGATTGTAGGTTTAGCCATGTGTACATGAGTCTTCAAATAATCAAAACTCAGCAAGAGAGAAAAAGCAAGATAAAGAGAGGGAAGAGAAATACAGAGGGTGAACAAACTCTTCAAAAATGGGGAGTGCCTAAGAGGTATGTCAAACTTTGGGTGTTGAAACCCAGTGTGACAAGATTTTTCTTGATGATGGGGATAATGTTTTGGTGGTATTTTCAGATATGGAACCTCCTAGAATCAAGTGCCCAAGTGTGAAGGAACGCATTGCGGAACCCAATAAGCTGACAGTCCGGGTGTCCTGGGAGACCCCCGAAGGAAGAGACACTGCAGATGGCATTCTTACTGAGTAAGTGAAACTTGGCAGCAGAAATGATGTTGCTTTAAGGGAGGCATTTACTACCCAGAGTGTGGAGTGTGTCTTTGCTGGTCTATTTATGCTTTCAGATATGGTCGCCTGGTCACCGTCTAACATACTAGGTATTTCACCTGTGCATTTGTTTATTGCCTGTCTCCACTATAGTATGTTCACTTCCATATCCCTAATGCTTAGAACTGTGCCTGGCACATCGTTAGCACTCAGTAAATCTTTATTGAAGGAAAGAAGGGAAATAAGAAGGGATGGTTGAGAAGAAGGGGAGAGAAAGTACAGAAGGGGAAAGAGGAACTCAGCTGGTTAATTCAGGGATAGAGTCAGCCCCATTGCCTGCCCAGGGTCTTCTACTCATGCCCCAGGCCTTATTAAGCCCTCACCTCCACTGGGAAGCCTTCTGTGTCTCCCAAGCAGAGCCAGGGGCTGCCCGCCTTGCGCTCTGGCTATGGTTTAGTACAGAACTTTTCACCCCTGTTTTTTAGCTGCACCTGTTTCTTTCAAAAATTTTGATTTTTAAAACTTTTGACCACATCAAACACTTAAAGAAGGTTGTACAAAGAAGAGAGAGAGAGAGAGAGAGAATGAGAATGTGTCTTCTGCCTTCTTCCCCACCTTAACCCCATTCTCTAGGACCAATTACATTCATAGTTTGATGTACATCTGAGATGCTTTTAAAAATGGGTGGTTCCCTTTGCTGTGGTTCAGTTACATGTTGTTCTAATCTAGCATTTGGGCCTGTACACTTGCAGCTGTTTGGTTGGCCTGCATGTTCCCTGGAGGCCACTATTTCATGTCAGCATGTTCGCATCTGTGCCTTAACGTTCATGGGCTCATTAGACCTCCCCACTGAGTTTCTATCTATGGACAAAAGGATATTCTGACTTATCCTCTGGTGAGCCATACAGCAGGGAAAGACTTTCTAGAATTCTATGAACCCAGGCTGTGCAAGACAAAACATTTTTATGAATTATTTTTCTTTTTTGTAATTTCAGTATGTTATGGGGGTATGATTATTTAGGTTATGTATATTGCCCTTGCCCCACCTGAGTCAAATTATTAACAACAATAGAACATCTTCTAGTAAGAAAAGGTTGAGTCTCTTACTCCTAGCAGGACATTTTGTTTCTATATCCTCATAGTCTTCCTACAGTGCATCATCTAGATTAAATAATATTACTAGTTGTGTGCCCCCTTGTAACTTTTCAAAGATAAAGTTTGACCATTAAAAAAATTCCTTGCTGTCACATACACATGTCACAAACCCCTAGGAGAAACTTTAGGTAATTAAGATTAAAAAGTAAATTTCAACAGTTGCCATAATTGGGGATTGGGTTTTATTTTTCTTTGACACATTGACATTTAGCACAATGCCTGGCCCAGCCCCTAGCACATAGTAGGTTTTTAGATTTTTGCAACTCTGATTGCTGTTGAACTCTTGTATAATAAACACAAAATTATCAAATAGATGATTCTATTTGTCTAAAAGCTTTGTGGGAATATTCACCTTGGCATTTTGTGGGTAACTTGTGTAATATGGTTAGAAATGTGACATTTAAAGAGCATCTCATTAGCCCCTGCCCCTCCATTCATAGCAGCTATATGCTTCCAGAGTTCTACAGCCCAGAGCCCACAAAGGCTTTGAGCAGAATGCTGTGGAGAATGCACTCCAGCAGCATGAAGTGTTCAGATAAAGCTGTCTTGGGCCCTTTTCAGCTCTCTCTTGGGATTCTTGCTTCCCTGACGTTTCTTCTGTGACCCTTTACCCCATGTCTTAGCCAAGCCTCTGTTATATAGCCCCCTTCTGGGGGGGGCAGTGCTAGTGTCAAGCTCTGAGACAAGCTCCTATAAGTTCCCTTATTTACTTCTTCTGATTGTTATTTGCACCTCAGAGATGAAATGGAGTCTCAGAGAGGTTGCAGCCACTTATATTTGAAGTATCACTCCTCTCAGGTTTATCTAAGTTTAAAATGTGCTTCCTAAGGACCTTAAAGCTATCGCCCCCAACTCCCAGGCCATGGACCAGTATTGGTCCGTGGCCTGTTAGGAACTGGGCCACATAGCAGGAGGTGAGCGGCAGGTGAGTGAAGCTGCATCTGTATTTGCGGCCGCTCCTCAGCACTCGCATCACCGCATAAGCTCCACCTCCTGTTAGGTCAGCAGGGGCGTTAGATTCTCATAGGAGCTCAAACCCTACTGTAAACTGCACATGCAAGGGATCTAGGTTGTGGTATTCTTATGAGAATCCAATGCCTGATGATCTGAGGTGGAGCTGAGGCAGGGATGCTGGTGCTGAGGAGCAGCTGCAAATACAGATTATCATTAGCAGAGAGGTTTCACTGCACAATAAAATGAATCATTCCAAAACCATCCCACCACCCCAGTCCGTGGAAAAATTGTCTTCCATGAAACCAGTCCCTGGTATGAAAAAGGTTGGGAACTGCTGCCTTAAAGCATCTAAAGCCAAAAGTGACATGTCTCTAAATGGTTGAATTTCTATTTTCTGGCTCTTTCCCAAGACCCCTGACTTTATACCTTGTAAGCAGCCACCTTGCTTACCTACATGTAAGCCTTTCCTCAGTGATGACATAATTCCAAATGTCCATTATTAACAAATATTCTTATCATTTTTAAGAACTGTAGATAGAAGGGGAATTATCTGTATATTGAAAAACAAACCAACCAACCCTGGCATTTGATCATGCTATTGTTGTTCTTATCAGACAGCCAAGGAAAAAGATGCTAGACCCACCCAAACTGTGTGATCTTGGGCAAGTTCTTTGACCTTTTGGTGCCTCAGTTTCCTCATCTGTGAAATGGAGATAATACTACCCACCTAACAGGGTTGTTGTGAGGATTAAAAAAAAAAAAAACTAATATATGTAAAAGGCCCAGAACCATGTCTGACATATGCAAGGTTTATGTAAGTGCAATGAACAATTATTGTGATTATTATATTATTAGGATAACCAAGGAATCACAGAGAACTTGCTTTTTGCTCAGGGAAGGTCTCCACTGGCCCAGATAGAAAAAGCAGAGAAAGTTCTAGCACCCCCTTCAGGCCCAAATTGCCAATGTCTGCTTGGATTATACTATAGATTGATTTTCCTTACAGAAAATTTCCTTGTCCTTCCAACAGTGAGGCAATTCAGTCCCTGGAACAAGGTTGGGATTAGAGGAAGACTTGGGCCCTGGCTTTCCAGCCTCCTCTCCACCCCTGTCTACCGTCCAGCAAGAAAAAATGTCTAAACTCTCCAGTACTTAAGGTTTTCCATTTTCTGGTCCAAACTGCTCTTCTAAAACAGAGTAAAACTCAGGAGATTCTATTCTCCAAGAAATCTTTGTTTTAGTCAAACTGGCCTAATGGCTGCCCCTCAGTGTCCCCAAATCCAGTGCAAAGTAGGGGCTCAACAACTGCTTGTTAAGTCCATAATGATCATCCTTTGTGTTTCTGTATTTTTTTTTCCCCTCTCTCTCTCTAAGTGTTATTCTGAAAGGCCTTCCCCCAGGTTCGAATTTTCCAGAAGGAGACCACAAGATCCAGTATACAGTCTATGATAGAGCTGAGAACAAGGGGACTTGCAAATTTCTAGTTAAAGTAAGAGGTAAGAGTACTGCTTATGGTTTTCTTCTTTCTTTAAAAGAGCAAGGGGAAGCAGGCCCTCAATCCAGAGCTCTCGAGTGCCCACTGTGGTAGGGAGACTTTCCAAGTTTGTATTAGTCTCTGATGAAGCTGGGAGAAATGTCCCATGCTAATGCCTGAATTTCACAGTACAAATCTGGATGGGGTCAGTGCTGGAAGATTATTTAAGAAGTTCCACAGGACTCATCTCACATACTAGCCCCCAGATGGCCATCACAGCAGAATATTATTCCATAATTTTTCCATCCCTGAGCTTAGGTGACCAGCTAAAGCTCCCAAGTCCTTAAAAGAGGGTGGTTAGGAGGCCCCTAGTTTGGTTCACCAGGAGACTATACTCTTGGTGTTCCAGAACCTTTGGTCTACCTGAAAAAACTGGTTTTAAAGGATTATTTTATGCCTCATGGTTTGGGCAGCTAATTACTAACCATCTTTACTCTTTACTCTTCTGGGTTCAACCTTTTTATCTATAACACAAGGGCCCAAACTGGTTGATTTCAGTGGTCTCATTGCTATGAACGGTGACCATTCCAAGGCTTACCCTTGACCAAATAGTCACCCATGCCCCTCACTCATTTCACAGGCCAATGTAGAAGCCTGGTTGCAAAGCTGGTGCTTCTGAGCCCTCACCTCCCTGGTTACTCTGTGGAAGGGGGCTCAGCACTAAGACCCATCTGGGCTTGTGTCCCTACAGTCAGACGCTGCGGCAAACTTAATGTCCCGGAGAATGGTTACATGAAGTGCTCCAGTGACGGCGATAATTACGGAGCCACCTGTGAATTCTCCTGCATTGGTGGCTACGAGCTCCAGGGTAGTCCTGCCCGAGTATGTCAATCCAACCTAGCTTGGTCTGGCACGGAGCCCACCTGTGCAGGTATGTGTGCAGCCTTCTCTCTAGCCAGCAGCAGAAGCTGAAGACCTCTTGATTCTTGATTACAGTATAGGAGAGAATGTTTCATATAGTTTGTAAAGTTCATTGGCATCCCTCTTCATCTGAGTGGATGAACACAGTCCCTAAATCCCTGCTACAGCTGATCTCACCTGCTCTCCTCCTTTGCCTCTGCCTATCTTCTGATTTCCCTTTCATGTCCTCTAAGGAAGAAGCTCAAGGTGGGAACCCAGGGCCAGCTGCTGGTGACAGTATGAATCAGCAAAGTCTGCTCTAGTGACCCTTGTTCCTCCTTTCTGCAAATGTAAGGATTTTGTTTACAAAGCCAGTACACTGCCATATATAGACAATATAATGCCTGCTTTGCAGCACTGGCTTGAAAGTCACACAGACCTTGGGCATTTGAAATCTTTCTTTCTGTGTAAAATTAGGAAAATAATATCTCACCTACTTCTTGAGTTGTTGTAAGGATGAAATGAGGTCATCCTTTGAACAGTGGAATAGGGCAGTGTCTGGTACAGGCCAAGGCTTCAATACATGCCAGCTCTTATGCCTTATAAACAAAAATTGGGCTGGGTAGTGATAATAGTATGAAATTTGGACTAGCCAGAAAATTCTGGACATATCTCTTATTTACAGACTTCTCTTTTTTCCTTCATTTCCTGGTACCTTTTCATCTATATCCTTTTCCTTTAATCCCAGCCTTTCAGAGTTAAGTGAGAGAGACACACATATGCCATCAGCTAAATGCCTAAGGTTCTTCAATTTCATATATTATAGTAGAAAGAACATCCCTGTCCCAGACTCCCCATCTAAGGACTATGCCTACCATGCTGGCATTGAGGCCTGAGGTGTAGCATCTAACAAGCTCCTAAGCCTGTGTGGTCCAATATGGTAGCCACTAGCCATTTGTTGCTATTGAGTGCTTGAAATGAGGCTAGTCTTGGATGGAGATGTGCTGTAAGTATAAAACATACACCAATTTTAAAATCTTAGTAAAAAAATAATATAAAGTATCTCAATTTTTCATGCTGATTACATATTGAAATGGAATATTTTGGATATGTTTGGTTAAATAAAATAAAATAAAGACATTTTCACCTATTTATTTATACTTATTAAAATAAGGCTACTAGAAAATTTAAACCTACCTAGTGGCTTCCATTGTATTTTATTGACCAGGGCTGTCCTAGACTTTAAGGCTCTTGAGCAAAGAAGGGGGCAGGGACTCAGTATCACTCTGTACAACATCCCAGTGCCTATCATGGAGCTTGGCACATAGCAGCCACTCAATATATATTGGCTGAATGAATAAATGTGTGAATGAACAAATACTTAAATGCAAATCTAAAGCTTGAAATATGAACACCAAGATTATAAACCATATATGGAATTTCCTAGTTTTCCTCATATTATTTTTTCTCCAGGGCCAGGCCTGTTTGCTTACCTATATATTGAATGTCTTTCGTTGACCTTGAATAGCTGGAATTGGTTGCCATTTGTTTGCCTAAAACTGCCTTGTTCCATGTCCTCCATGGCTGCATTGCTCTGTGCCCTGCATTGCTCTGTCCTTCCCACTTCAAGAAGGCAGGCTTCAGAGATTCTGAGCCATTCCAAAGCCAGCCTGTCCATTGACCATTCTTTCACCCTTCTGCTTCCCTGCACCCCTTCACCAGCAGATACTGTGTGCTTGACTCATATGCCTTTGGACATTCCCATCTATGTTCAGGAGGCTACTTATTGCAATTATCTGGGTCTCTATGAGAGCTTTTTTTTTTTTTTTTTTCCTGGCTATGAAAGCATTATCAGCCCATGCACAGGGCTAGCTGGAAGTGATGGAGAGTTAGTGCCCCAGAAGCAGCCATCAACCAATTATGGAGCAGTTGGTATACAAGGTCTGTCTGGAACATATCCAGCCATTGTTAATATTATATAACAAGAACAGTTTGCACAACATCGATGTCACCTGGCAGCCAAGGAGAGTGGACTGGAAGGCACATGCATGAATAGTGATGCCGTCACTGTACTAGTAATTGGGGTGCTAGGTGCTGTTGAGTGAGCATGTGTACTGTGTGGCTGTTGCATTCAAAATGACTGAGTTAGTAGAGCAATGAATCTGCATCAAATTTTGTGTTAAGCTTGAATATTCCTCAGCAGAAACTATTTGGATGATTCAGAAGGCTCTTGGGGATTATGCAATGCAAGTAGTGCAAATAAAAGTGTGGCAAAAGTGCTTCAAAGATGCTCGAGAATCTGTTGAAAGTGATCCATGTTCTGGAAGGCCTGCAACAAGCAGAACACCTGAGAATGTTGGACATGTATGGGTTAGGTTAAGAGGTGCTGGGAGAACTGTGTGAGGTCCTAAGGTGTCTACTTTGAAGGGGACTGAGGTGTCATTGTCCCATGTACAAAGTTTCTTGTATCTTGTATCATCTTCAATAAATGTCTCTATTTTTCATATTACATGGCTGTATACTTTCCAGACAGACCTCGTATATACTGCAGTTCCCTCCAGTGTAATGACTCTGAGGTATGTTGTATACTATCTCCCAGAATTTCCTAGTAGGATTGAGCTCCAGATGTCAATAAATTGCTTGACAACCCACTCTGTATTGCTTTCTTTCCTTTCCTATCTCATTTCCTGAGGTTGGCAGGATAATGGCCCCACAACGGTGTCTATATCCTAATCCCCAGAATCTGTGACTATATTTCCTTACATGGCAAAAGGGACTTAGCAGATGTAAATACGTTAAAGACTTTGAGATGGGGAGAGTATACTGGATTATCAGATGGGCCCAGCATAATCACAAGAGTCCAGATATAAGGGAGCAAGAACTGCTGGAAGAGACAGAGAAAGAGATAATGGAAGAAAAGGTCAGAGAGAAGAGAGATTTGAAGATGCTATACTGCTCTTTTGAAGATGGAGGAAGGGGCCACTAGCCAAGGAATGAAGGTGGCCTCTAGATAGTGAAAAAGACAAGAAAACAGATTCTCCCCTAGAATCTCTGCAAGGAACTCAGCCCTGCCAACACCTTGATTTTAGCTCAGTGAAATCCATTTTGGATTTCTGATGTACAAGACTGAAGAGAATAAATTTGTGTTATGTTAACTTTATGGTGATTTGTTACAGTATCACGAGGAAACTAACACATGTCCCCACTTCTCTACCAATGCTTCTTGGGATCACCTCCCAAATAAACTACTTACACTTGAATCCTTGTCTGAGGGTCTACTTCCTACACATGAGGTTCATGTGTCATCACAGGCTATGTTGAACCAGAACAAATAGAAAGTTTCTGACCCATGTGGCCATTCTACTTACAGCCATGAACGTCAATGTGGGTGTCAGAACAGCAGCTGCACTTTTGGATCAGTTTTATGAGAAAAGGAGACTCCTCATTGTGTCCACACCCACAGCCCGGAACCTCCTCTACCGGCTGCAGCTGGGAATGCTGCAGGTAAGTCCTAGAGGCGTGGTCAAGGTGGGAGGGAGACCTCTAACAGAAAGGGCTCAGCCATTGCACTAAAAGAGAAGGCTAGATTCAGTGCCTAATCTATTTACTCTGAGTTTCAGGAATTGGCACTTTAGGGCTACCACCATTCATTTCTGGTTCTGGGGCATAACCTGATTAACATTGACTCCCCAGAGCTAACCCAATCATTTTCCAACTAATGAGGTTTGTCTGTCTTCACTAATAAGCCTAATTGGCATACTGTCCAGCCTCAGCCACAGAACAATTGTCTTTGCTGAACCAGTCCAGGATATGCCTGGGCTGGAGGTGATCAGTCACTTGTCAGCCCAAAAGTCTGCCCCAGAGGATCAGGGGAGTCCAGGAGTGCTCAGGCTCCAAATCTTTCCTCAGGGATTTTCTCCAACTCTCAGCAAGTAACAGCCATTTTGTAGAAACAGTGGTTCTGAAAGTGTCATCTGAGGACCAGTAGCATCAGCATCACCCGGGAACTTGATAGAAAGGCAAATTCTCAGGCTCCTCCCAAACCTACTGTATCAGAATCTTAATTTTAACAAGATTCCCAGGGGATTCCTAAGCACTCTAAAGTTTGAGGAGCACTTTTCTAGGAAATGTGCCCTTTTCAGCTGTGTAAATTTTGTAGCTACTGCATGAGGCAACCAGCATCTTGTGGGGTAGAAGAGCTAGAAACTATGAAGATCAAACCAGAAGTTGCTTGATTTTGTTCTGAAGCTGGGTTGTAATAAGAGTGGCTAACCTGACTGAATGCTAAAGAGGCAGGATGTATACTGTGTCATGGACATGGTACTGCACATATTTGTTGAGAATATTTCATTCATTTATTGCAGTGAATAGAACTATGTGCTTAGAGCAATCTTGGTTTATTCAAAGGCTACAATTTACTTCTCATGTCAACATGAATACCGGGAATAACAATAAGTCTTTCTTCACTCTTCCCATGTACTTGAAAGACTGCCCATGAACTCTGAAGAGCCATATACAACTTTTGTGAGTTCTCATGATAGAAAACAAATTCATTGCATCTTTACCCCCAGTCCCTGCCACCTGACCTCCCCTTGTATCCCCGTGTCCCAGCTAGGGGCTTGCTCTTCAGAAAATGCAAACTTACACTTCTCCATTTTGTAGGGAATTGACGTTGCAGGCTATAATCCATGATCATGCATTTCCTCATCTCTTCCATGGAAAAATGAATAAGCCAAACAACTTGCTTTTCCTCTCTGTCAGCAAACTCTGGCCTGTGGGCCAAATTTGGCCCATGGCTGGTTTAACTTAACTTTTATTGGGCACAGCCATACTCACTCCTCTGTACGTTGTCTACAACTGCTTTTGCACTGCAATGATGGGGTCTAGTGGTTAGGACAGAGGCCATCCAGCCTTGCAAAGTCTAAAACACTTACTATCTGGCTCTTCACAGAGAAAGTTTGCTGTCCCTGCTCTAGTTTAGCCCATCCCTTCAGGTACTTACTAGCTTACTAATTAACTTGTTGGATAAGATATTTTGTATAATGATGTTTATATGTGACCTCCTCCCCTAACATACTTACATTTGCAGAACCTTCAAGGAAAGGTTTGAGTGACTTAGGTGTTTCAGTTTGAGTAATAGAAAAGTCTATTTCTACCTCTTGGAACTTTTCTACCAGTTCTGTCATGCCCTATTAGGGATATTTCAGTGGAAATTTTGGTAAAATATATTTGGTGTTCTCACAATTCAGGAGTTCAAAATTTCTTTTCCTATTCAGTCAGTTTCATCTTGTCTTATGTTACTTTTCTGTTCCCTTATTGCCACTGCCGCTGCTGATGAGCCCTCCTGGCACACGGTTGAAGGGGCCACATTCCTGAGGCTCTTGCCAAGGGCCAGCCTAGAGGGCTGGAGCCTTTTATTCTTGTTCCCCCTGGGTTTGGGTGTGGGGGCACAGGGCAGGAGGATGTGGAGAGTAGAAACAGGGCAGAGAAGGGGACTCTGGCAATACTGTATTCTTGTCTCCTTGCAAAGACAAAGTTAGACTCCTCTGGGGTGGTCTTGGACACTTTTTAGGAAATTTGACTCACTCGAGGTCTCACCCTGTCTGGAAATACATAGAGTGCCATTTTGCTTAGGCTTTCAAAATCCCACTGCCAAGTCATTTCTAAATGATTCCTCTAGGAAGGTATTTAAGTTTTATAGCCACTAGTTTAAGACCAATTTCTCAACTGTTTTCAGGACAGTTCAGAGTGGGCAAATAAACTTTCACAAACAGACCAGTGCTGCTTCTGGCAGTTTGTAGTTTGACATGGATGTCTCTTTCTTTAGCCATGCTCACACCTCCCCTGTTGGGTTTTCTTTTTCCCAGCAAGCACAGTGTGGCCTGGATCTTCGACACATCACCGTGGTGGAGCTGGTGGGTGTGTTCCCGACTCTCATCGGCAGGATAGGAACAAAGATTATGCCTCCAGCCCTAGCTCTGCAGCTCAGGTAGGGGGAAGTTCTGCTCTTAACTGTCATCCCTTATGGATGCACTTTTATCTGATAAGATTCCCTGATTTCTTTCGATTCAGTATTGAGTTCAGGCAACCTTCAATGTTTAATTGTTTTTATACTGGGAGTATTATAGCCATGCTAATTGGCATAGTGCTGTTTGTCCAAACAAATCATGTATTGGATAATTACCAGTGTTTTCTTTTTTACCCCTCCAACCAAGTGTTTGTGCTTTGCCTTTGTTTGTGTTTGTGTGTGTGTGTGTGTGTGTGTGTGTGTGTGTGTGTGTTTGGTTGGGGAGAGAAGGATGGGTAAGGGAGGAGAACTTGAAAAAAGGACCTAAGCACTCCTTTGCCTTATTAGGAGAACTGACATCCAATTATTCTTTCCAAGATTGGACTCCTTTTCCTCCAGGTTTCCAAGGCACTTGTCCTTACCCCTATGTTAACAATTATATTTTATTTTGGTTAACACTTATAAAGCTAGAGGCCTGGTGTTCAGACTCTGAGTAATGAAAGGAACAGAGTTCAACAGCTGAGAGGTAATTTGAGAATAACCCAGAGTTTTACTTGCATCTCTTGACTGCTGTGAAATGGATAATTAGGCTAAAGCAAAACTCCTTAAAAATCTTCCTTTCTTGCCCAGCTTTTTCTCTCACGCATTGCAGGGCAGAGTGCAGATCTCTGTTTTCAGGGTCCCAGGTGGCCACACCATCTTGTACATCAACATCCTGAACACGTGGCTTCTAGGTTTCTGCAAAAGGAGAAGAAAGAGAGTAAAATCAACCCACATACACTCTTTTATGCTTCACATATTTGGAAGTGACACATATTGCTCACTCTCCCAGTCCATTAGTCAAAACTAGTCACATGATTGCAATTAAACTTCAAGGAAGGTTGGGAAATGAAGTCCTTCTGTATTCCCAAGAAGAAGAAAATGAAATGGGACTTGGTGACCCCTAACCCAGGTGTTCAGAGAGATTCACAGACATTCATTAAGAGGTTATATTATAGAAACATATCCTTAGCAAATGATGCTACATAGATTGACACAATAGCTTCTTTCTCCAATTTCCTACTTTCTAGATGGCTTTGACTCATCCCATGTTTAACTTATACCTTTCTCCACCCAGAAAAGAGTCTGCCTCATCCCTACCAAGGTCAAAAACTCAGAGAGCTTGAGATGGGAAAAAATAATAAGAGGATGTGTGAATTCTCTTTAGTTGGCCAATGGAGGGAGAAGGCTGGGTATACTTATATGTTTTGCATTTTTTAGCCTACTGAATTTGCACGTAGCACCTCCCCAGAGTATAACACTTTTGAGGTCAGTAACAGATCTTTCCAATATTTGCCACTCAGTACCTAACACAGTGCCTGGCACCATCTTTGGAGCTACATAAGTGGAATAAATAACTCTAAATTTCACTGAAGCAGCTTTACTATTTTTAGGAGTAATAGTAAGTAGACTTTAAGAATATATTTAAAATTATTGTACTAATATCTCAAGTTGAAGTATGGAAAACTGAAGACAGGATTATGTTGATATCTAAAAATTTATAATGAACATTTTCAAAGTAGGTTTAATGAAACTGTTGCTTAATTAGAACTATCTGCTCATACCCTTTGTCAATGATTATTTTTTAAAAAACCTGTTGTAGAATTTGCTAGTCTATAGATTGAATATATATATTCTTTATATATTTAATCTAGATATACTCAATATATTGTTCATAAAATCTTGATGTGATTTTAAACTGTTTAGACTATTTGAGGAATAAAAAAATATGATTTAAGAAATAAACTTCTGTCATTCAAGTTGAATATGTTGAGGTTATTATAGACCTCTGTAGGCTGAAGATGACTTAAGCAACAAAAAAAATTGCTTGAATGAATTATGGAGTAGTTCTCAAACTTTAGCCTCCATCAGAATCACCTGGAGGGCTTGTTAAAATACATATTTCTGGGCTCTATCCCCATATTTTCTGATTCAGTTGGTCTAGAATGGCTTGAGAATTTGCATTTTTCACAAGTTCCCAGAGGCTCACACTGTGAGAACCACTGACCTAGTGTTTTAACCAAAGGCTTTACAGTTTTGAAACAGATCTTTTGCCCATTAGCCTTTAAAAAGAGGGTTGATCTTTACTGTGCAGCCAGAAGATAGTCCAGGTAAATGTCATGCAGAGATGATCACTCTGATACATTACCTAATGGATTTGGTGTCAGACTGGCATGTCCCTGTTATCAGAACTATCAGTGAGGAAAAAAGAACTTGGCAGATGGATATTGTGCTCTTTTTCCCTTTGAATTCCACCTCAGACTGCAGCACAGGGCAAAAGAGATGAATTAGGCAAAGAATGGGGAGCAGGAAAGAAGAGGAGGAGAAGCAGAATGCCTGGCTAATCTAAACAGTCTCTCATCTGGTTAGAACATTGTTTTCAAATACCACTGAGGCTGTGATAAAACTGTTGAAGGGAGTCAGCAAAAAGGGGAGAGTGAGTGGTGTTGCAAGATCACTACCTGCCTTCTTTCTTGCCCTCATTTCTTTGAAATCTGGATGTGTGGGCTAATTCATACTCCCTGGAGTAATTTTCCAGCAATCTCAAGGATGACAGGGACCAAAAAAGCCATCATATTTATTATACTCACATTATTCTTTGAATCTAGAGTTCCCTAGAGGATTCTCCAAGAAGAACTGTTTCCAGTCTGATGACAGACATTTGTGTAACTCATCCTGTCAGCACCACCACTGATTCCATGTTCCGTGGCATGTCTCATCATCCATCCCCAAGATTTCTGTGGTCTCTCAGCCCCAGTGGGATACATTCCTGTGGCTGTTGCTAGCTTGTTGATCCAACTACTCATCTCTTCTCATGGCAGTTTTCTCTCTTTGTATTCTGTGTCAATCAAGGTCCAAGGTTCACACTGCAACGTGTGTGGTAGTAGATGGTGGCATCATAGGGGGTGTCCATCCTAGCCTCATAAGAACTATAACATTGAATGCTCCAGTTTTTCATCGGTCACTCTCTCCCACAGCCTCCAGCCACCACATTTTCTACTCCTCTGTTTCCTGGGACCTTATGTTAAAACTTGCCAGAAAAAGTCAATACTCTTCCTCTTAAAGATGCAGAGCAGTTTAGCCCTCCTTTCTCACCTTGTCTCATAGCCTAGCCTACATTCACGTGTTCAAAGACTGATTAATGCACTTTTCTAAGTCATCTACTTCTGAGCTCCTGTATTAGCACTGCAGGAAACCTGGTGGAACCATTATCATGTCCTCTTTCTTTTATTTCTAGTCACTAGAAGTGGATTAATGATTTAGCTTCCCACTGGGATAAAATATAAATTATTCCATTCTTCCTTTGAAACTCTGTCTTAAAAGGCAGAGAAATGTGCAGTTTGTATTTTATGTAATTTTTTTTGACCTTGATCTGTTTGTATGAAGGAAAAAATAATTCTCTTTAAATCCAGATGGTAGTGTATATTCTGCCTCATACACAATCTCCAAATATCTAAAGTGAAAAAAAATTTGGAGAAGAGACTGAACAGGCTCATTTGTTTATTGGACTCAGATTATTTGTTTGCTTTCTCTGGCTTTTCCCGTCTAAACATTCTTGTATTGGTATAAAAATCATATTTTTACACAGTTTAAATTCTAGTTGGGTAGAGTAGAAAGAACATCAGACACTTGAAATGACTTTGAATTCTTTTTTGGAATTATTTGAGGTACAAATTATAATTAATCAAGTCAAAGTATCTGGAGAGTAGACCAAACTCAATGCCTTCTAACTATGCAGTCCTGTGGCAACTGAATAGGCCATAACTATAATGTTTGGAAAGTTATTTTAATCAGCTTTACCTAGCTCAGGTTTTCTCCACCTTGGCACTATTACCATGTGGAGCTGTATAATTCTTTGTTTGGTGGTGAGGGTTTCCTGTGCATTGCAGGATGTTTAACAGCATCCCTGGCCTCTATGCACTAGATGTTGGTAGCATATCTACTCCCCATTGTGACAACCAAAAATATCTCCAGACATGACCAAATGTCCCCTGCAGGGGGTTGGGGGAATCACCCCTGTTGATAAACACTGACCAAGTTTTAGTGTGTATGTGGTTATGCAAAACTAGTCAGCAAACTAGGATTTACTCCAGTTTTAATGCAGAAAAATCTGTTAGTCTTGTACATGCCTTATGGTCGCTGTTGGTGCATGGCATCATTGCAGGCCTGAAGTCTTCCTGACCATAATCGAAAGCAGTGCTTCTCAACCTCTCATGTGCATACCAGTCATCTGGGGACCTTGATAATAATGCAAATTACAATTCAGTGGGTTTGGGGTGGAATGTGAGAGTCTCCATTTCTAACAAGTTCCTATGTGTGGCTGGTGGTCCAAGGACCACACTTTGAGTAGCAAGAGTCTAAAAGATGACTCAGTCCTCTATGGTACCAAGCATCAAACCTTTCTCTGCACAGTGTCACTTTAGGGTTTTGGTTGGTCCACCAGAACCCTTTGGAGTTGGCGTTTGACTTAGTCTTCTCTTTTCTTTGTCTGCTCCAGGCTGCTGCTGCGAATCCCACTCTACTCCTTCAGTATGGTGCTAGTGGATAAGCATGGCATGGACAAGGAGCGCTACGTATCCCTGGTGATGCCTGTGGCCCTCTTCAATCTAGTTGACACTTTCCCCGTGAGAAAAGAGGAGATGGTCTTGCAAGCCGAAATGGGCCAAACCTGTAACACCTGATGTGATGGTAACACCTGATGTGATGGCTCCTCTCTTGACAGTTCTTCTTTTCCTACATAGTGCCATGCACATGGGAAGGCCTTAAAAATATCCTTGATGTACAGATTTTTATTTGTAATTTTAAAAGTCTATTTTATTATGAGCTTTCTTTGCACTTGAAAATTAGCATGGTGCTTTTTGTACTTTGAAGTGTTTCAAAAAATAATATGAACATATTTACTCTTTCTCTCTTTACTCCATCATGGCTGATTAATTTTGTAGAGAAATTAGAAACTACAATCATACACATGCTTTCAACATGTTATTCAGTGTAACACATAACTCTCTTCTATTTTGTTGTTTATGTGAAACTTTTATTAATAAAATATTTTGGAGCAAATTTATTAAAACTCACTTTGTTTACTAAGCACTGGCCATATTTTCTCAGTGTACTCAATTGTCTTAGGACTGTGATTCTTAGTAATGGAAAAATGTAATTAGTCTTGTGAGGAACTCCGCTGAGCTGCCAGGTGCCCAGGTAGCCAATTAAAACAACAAGCCAAAAAAAAAAAAAAAAAAGGAGAGAGAAAGAATTAAGCCTTCAATTATTGACAGTGATACTATAAGCAAGAGTCTAAATAAAACCAGAGAAACAGAACCTTGCACTGGTTGACAGTCAGGTAGCACAGCACAGATAAAAGGTCATCTCACTGTTGAGGAAGCCTTGAACGAAAAGCTCTGGGAGTTTTATGGACCATAGATTCAGTCAAGCAAAGGGCTAGGAGTGGAAAAGGCTGGGTACTGAGTCAGAGTGAGGAAGTTTGTTCCACATTTTCACCTTCTCCCCATCCCCTCATAAGGGGGCACCTGAAGAAGACCCCTGCCAAGGCCTCAGATAAAAAGGCCTAGAAATGAAGGCAGGGGCTGGGGTAGGAACATAAATATGTAGAAAAGCATGATTGGCCAGGAAGCCTGAGTTCTCGACTGCAACTCCCCACAGAGACTTCAATGCACCAGCTGTGCACCAAGTCTGGTGTGGAGAGGGCAGCTTTCCCGTGAAGCCTGCCATGTAAAGCATTTGTCACTGTCTATGGTCAGGCCTGAAAAAAAAAAATCACACATTGGTTTTTAACCAGGAGCCAGACTCCTCCAGTGTCCCAAGAAAACCTTGGAATTTTCTCTCCATTTTCAGAATATCAGTTCGGCTCACAAATATATTCCTGAACAAAATGACTAAATGAAAGTGCAAATTCTCATGTACAGAGGCTTAAAATAGGAAGTACATTTGACACTGGTTTTTGAAGATTAAGCAGAATGATTGCAATTTGTCACACTAAACTGTCACTCTGTTTACAAATATGATTTTGTTCACAAAGCACACTAGAAGCCACTCATTGACTTCTGTCTCCTTCAGATGTACTAGATAAAAGTCAGTGGCATGACTAGTAGAAGAATGTCAAACAGTAACCAATTGGAAGCCATGCAAAGTTCAAGAGATCATTTGTTACAATTAACGAAACACATATCTGCCATGTTAAAGCTCTCTTGTCTTTGACAAGCCAGCCAGTGCACTTTTTCCTCATAGCCTGAAAGATCCAAACCTTAGAGATGAGCTGACATTTAAGGAACTGGTCTGATTTATTCAAACCAGCCTTCATGATGAACTTGGAATATTACATGCACTTTGTCCAACAAGATACAAGGTACACAGACTATTTGAAGATGAATGAGTGCACTGTGATATTTAAAAATCAAATATACTTCATCACAATTTGGGGGCATTTTTAAGGATTAATTAATAGGTTCTTTCTAGAAACTGGTGTCTCACTGGAACTATCACATGACTTCTCTATGTACCCTTCAGACTTCATAAAAACAATCCCTAGTTCTGGTTGCTCATGCTGTTTGATACAGCAGAATTTTTAGATGTGTGTGTATGTGTATGTGTGTGTGTGTGTGTGTGTGTGTGTAGGGAAGGGGGAGGTAGTTAAGTGGACTAAACTCAAGTGGAAAACTGTCTCCACTTCTGTAGATGGCAGCTGAAATCTCAGTTCTTTTTTTAAACCTTAGCTGGACTTCTTGGAATCTGCAACAACTCCCAGTCTGCACATGCATGGTTCAGCAATCAGTCAGAAATGTAGGCAGCTTATATACAAAATTTGAGGCCACTGTGTCTGGCTATCTCCTTTCTGAGATTTCCTTCATCATGTCTCAATTGCTATATTTGCCCCTACTCTCTCCTCTGGTTCTCCAAACCAGTAACACTGAACACTTTCTATCTTTAATTAAGCCTCCCACTTTCCCCAAACCTAGGTTGGTGCATCCTGCAGCCTGCCCTTAAGCAAAACTCCCCAAAGCCTGATGACTCATCAAGTTTATTTGCCTTCTGCCAAGTGATGATTGCCTTCCAGGATCTGCCTGCTTTTTGGTCTCTCTCCAATGTCTTCAGGTAGTTTTTAAAAAATATGTATTTTGGCCAAATATAGTTGTTGTATGTGCAAGGTTTGTCCAACAGGAGTCACTATCTGAAAGCTAGTGAAGGATGAACCAGCAGGTGGAAGAGTCTAGGCCATTCCCAGAGAACTGCAGAAACTTCAACTCTACAAGCTCTCAACTCTTGAGCTTGAGACTAAATAATTGGTGAGGTATGAAAGAGAAGAAAGGCAATGAGGTCATCCAAAGCACACTGAAGAAAGGATTAATGCCCAGGCTGCTGAGAACAATATTATTGATCTATTCCTGCATTAAAAATTACCCCAAAACATGTTGGTTTAAAACATCAACAACATTTATTATCTCTCACAATTTCTGTGGGTTGGGGATTTGGGAGCAGCTTAGTTGGCTAATTCTTGTTTGCAGTCTCTCAGTTGCAGTCACACATCAGACAGGACTATAGTCATCTAAAGACTTGACCAGGGCTGGAGGATACACTTCCATCATGGCTAACTTGCATGACTAGCAAGTTGGTGCTGGTTGTTGGAGGAGACCTCTGTACTTCCCCACATGGACTTCCACACAGAGTGTTGCATGAATGCTCTCATAACACATGGCAATTGGTTTCTTCTGGTAGAAATGATCCAAGAGAGAGCAAAGTGGAAGTGATAATATCTTTCACGACAGAATCTCAAAAGACTCACACTGTTACTTCCATGATATCTTATTGATAACATAGGTTGGCCCTATTCAATGTGGGAGAGGACTACAGAAGGGTGTGGATACCAAGAGGCAAAGATCACTGGTTGTCAAAGCTGGTGGCAACTTCTTAATTGGGGGCCATGGCATCTTGATAGTAGCAAACATGGAGTGGTTCTGGCATAAGCAAATATAATTTTGGTTTCCCAATTTGGTAGGCAAATTCATAATTTTACAGCTTCTTAGTAGCTCCCTTGGCTGTCCCAAGTGGTTTAAGGAGTTGTTCTTGAAAGCTCAACACAAAATATATTTCTTCAGCCCTCCACCAGATAAAAAGAAAATCCTTTCTCTTTAAAACTAGCTAGTGTTGATTCTATTGTCTGCAATTTAGTCCTGAGCAACACAGACAGCAAAGTTAAAAGTATAGTCTTCAAACACTGGATTTCTTGGACTTTCCTTCCTTGCAATTTTAGAGTTAACAGAGATATTCAAGTACCTCTTAGAGAAATATTTTATAAGCCATGATGAAATCATTCAGCAAAATTGACCATTTCTCTTCATCACTGCTTTGTCACAGGTGGAAGGATAGAGAAGGTGTATTGGATGGAGGACTAATCTAGGGGTGGATGATTATGGCAAAGTTGTGGTGGCAAGACAAAAGTGGCGAAATTGTAATATTGAGAAAATGGATCATGTGATGACCACAAGGACCAGGATCTGCATGAAAAGAGATAAGAACAATAGTGGGACTGATATATTGAAAGAATATAATGAAGGGATAGTAATCCAAATGTGGTTGCAGAGTAAATATAATGAGTACAAATATAGGAGAAATTTGGAAGATATAAAGAAAACATCACTGTAGTTGGGATGTTAGGAAGTTGTCTGGGTTATACACATGGATGATGAGATTTTCCAGGATACTGGCAACAGTTAAGGCAGAGGAGATGTAAGAGTCAGGTTCCAAGGGTATATATCAGAGTGGAGGAGTAAATTGAGTGTAGATAGATGACTACAGGGGGAGGGTGGTGGAGAGTGATATGGTATATGGCAGGAATATCAGGGAGGGTCTTTTGATTACAGAATGGGGAAATGTTGAACACATTCCCTGTATGAACTGGAATAAGACAAGGATGCCCACTGTCACAGCTTCTATTCAACATAGCGCTGAAAGTCTTAGCCAGGGCAATCAGTCAAGAGAAAGAAATAAAGTTATCCAAATCAGGAAAGAGGAGTTCAAATTATTGCTTTTCACTTACTATATGATCTTGTATCTAGAAAATCCCAAAGGTTCCACCAAGAGACTACTGGAATTGATAAATTTATCTAAGTCTCAGATTATAAAATCAATGTACACAAATCAGTAGCATTTCTATATATCAATAAACAGTAAGGCTGACAGTAAAATCAAAAACTCAATACCATTCACAATAGCTACAAAGAAAATAAAATACTTAAGAATATTTTAAACCAGGAAGATGAAATATCTCTACAAAGAGAACTACAAAACATTCAGGAAAGAAATTGCAGATGACACACACACAAATGGAATAACATATCATGCTTATGGATTGTTAGAATCAACATTGTTAAAATGTTCTTACTACCCAAAGTGATTTACAGATTCAGCACAATACTCATCAAATTATCAACGTCATATTTCACAGATCTAGAAAAAATAATTCTATGCTTCATTTGGAACCCAAAATGAGCCTGAATAGCCAAAGCAATCTTAAACAAAAAGAACAAATCTATCACATTACCTGACTTCAAAATATACTACAAGGCTATAGTAACCAAAACAGCATGGTGTTGGTACAAAAATAGAGACATAGACCCCATCTCTACTAAAAATAGAAAAAAAAACTTATCAGGGCATGGTGGCAAGTGCCTGCAGTCCCAGCTATTGGGGAGGCTGAGGCAGGAGGATCGCTTGAGCCCAGGAATCTGAGGTTGCTGTGAGCTAGGCTGACACCAGGGCACTTTAGCCTAGGCAACAGAGCAAGACACTGTCCAAAAAAAAAAAGAAGTCAAAAAACAATAGATGCTGGCATGGATGCAGAGAGAAAGGAACACTTATACACTATTGGTGGGATTGCAAACTAGTACAACCTCTATGGAAAACAGTACGGAGATTCCTCAAAGAAGTAAAAGTAGCCTTACTATTTGATCCAGTGATTCCACCATAGGGTATTTACTCAAAAGAAAAGAAGTCATTTTATCAAAAAGACACCTGCACTCAAATGTTTGTTGTGGCACAATTCACAA